CAGTTCTACAGTACTTTCAGAGGGGTGAATTCACCCAGGACTTTCAGTCCGTGGGGATGTTTCCAAGCAGAACTTGGAGGATGAACAGCAGCCTTGAATTCCTGAATACCATGGTATCTCTAGAGATCACTTTCATCGGAAAGGTTAATGTGGCGAGGGCTGTTACTGGTGTTCAATTAAGCATCATCATATAAGGCATACAGTAAGTGAACCGTCGCACAGGAATCTTGTTGGACTTCCAGTAATAACCTATTTTGGCGCCACGCATACTTGGTGATCCCCCAGGTAGCAAGTGGTGGATGTTGCTCAACCTGGGCAGAGATCCCCTCCTCATCCTCCGTCCTCCTCATGTTTGCTTTTGAAGCTTTCCATTTGATGAGATGCCTCATCAACCCGAAACAATAGAGCCTTCAATTTCCTTTTGAAAGGAATTGAATCCCTCTTTGAACGCCACAGGAATCCTCCCACCGAAGGGGATCCTCATTTGGGCACCAAGAAAAGAACCCCGCTCGAACCACATGACACGAGCCAAACGACACGAACCGCTCGCGCGACGTGCTGAAGCACCTCGGGTTCCGCAGGCGGAGTTGGAGGCGCAGAAGCACCGCGTCCAGCAGCTGCGACGGGAGCTGAGCGACTTCAAGGCTTCAGCGCCGTCGGCCGAGGAGTTGAAGCTGGAGATCCGAGAGGCGGATGGCGCTGGGCGGTGGAGATCCGGTAGGTGGAGTACACCCTGGTGGAAGACTAGCATCGCATGGACCCTGAGTACACCACGTCGGTTGGTAGAGGAAAACACTCGGACGCGACCAGACAGTCAGGGTCTATGTGAGTTGACTCGGGAGATCTCGGGAGCGACCGTGATTGCCTTTTTTGGGGGGTGGATGAGGAGGAAGGAACAAAGATGAACAAAGTGTTGCTGGAAGGGTCTCATGTACAAGGGTCTGGTGTGCGGTTTGTGGTGCTGCCGTGTAACCCAAAGACTTTCGCAAGCTGCTCACATTTGAGAACGCATGTGACTTAGGATGCGGGTTTCTGTTCGCGTCATAGTGCAGTCTGTTGAGCCTTTCCGGGGAGGGTACTTCACTTGGGGGTTCCATGACTTGGCATTCCAAGATGTACCTGGAAACCCAAACAACCAGAAACAAATGGTTGTTCCCATTATGGCAATTGACATCCTTACATAGGAAATGGCTGTTTGGGGAAACATCCATTTGTTTCTGGTTGTTTGGCTTCCCAGGTAATGCTTTTCTTTCACCTCTCGGGCCTTGATGACGTGTTCGACTCGTGGGGCTACCGTCGAGCCGAGCCGAGCCCATTTCCCGGAGGACCTACAGTACCTGGTGGCCACCGCGATGGATCGAAGCCGAAGTCATCGGAATGAAGTTCGTGCTGCGTTTCTGGAGCCTGAAGAATCTGAGGATCCGGAGGACAAGCCGAAGCCGCCCGAGTTCCCGGAATGTTGTTGTGTGCGCAGGTTTTGGGCTTTCTTACTCACCGGGGTGAGGTTGTTGTTCGTTTCGGTAAACTGGGTGAATTCCCTTCTGGCAAACTGTGCTTTAGTTTTTTGCCGCTAACCTTGGACAGCAACTCCAAGGTTCCTAAGCGGCCCCACGGATGCAGCGACCGCTGATTCAGATCCAAAGACGGCTCCAGGAGTCGTGCCAGTGACCTCCAAAGAAGATTCATCCAGTTATTATCCGAGGAAGGAAAAGCCGCAGCATGACCTTCGTGACCTTCGTTCTCCACTGCTCGAGGCATCGACGGAGTTCATTTGGGAGACGCCGCCGCAGCCGGTTGAAGAGAAAGCCAGGAGATTGACTCAAGCAGCTGTCAATGAGCTGATGAGCATTTGGAAGGGTCCCAAGGAGCTGCAAACTACGTCAATGACGTGTGCCGTTTTGGGTTTTGAGAACTTCAGTTGACCTCGGATCATGATGTTACATCACGTTACTATGAGCAACGATCGTTTCCTCGTTTCCTGAAAGCTGATCGTAGGACCTGAGCAATGATTTTGCGTTTTGTTTCTGCAAAATCTGAACCGAAACAAGAGAGGTTAAGTCTAGTGACCTTATAGGACCTTACTGGGGTACCTATGGGATAGGCTAGTTCGGGTCCTTCAACCTTTATTGGTGAACGGCCCAGGAGGAGAAGAGGAAGCTTCTGAAGACCGTGCCATTGAGGCCGTGCTTTCTCGGTCGATGGAGGATGGGTGCAGCTTATGTTGTCCAACAGGGAGCTTTCCTGTTCTTGTTGACTTACAGTGACTTGCAGGTGGTCACCTCACAAGAAGAGTCGTGGAAGAAGTGGAATCCTTGAACATACATGACACGTTCGAATTGTTTGGACCTTTCAACTGGCATGTTTGCTGGTCCGTAATACGGTGCTTGTCTAGCACCAAAACTGCTGAGTCATCAACTTCTGGGTTTTTCGAGGCTGCATAGTGACAAGGGTGGAAGCGACGAAGCCATGACCCTTGGCGACGTCTGGCTTTCGCGCGTGTGGCCCCGCACGGCCGCACGGTGGACTCCGCCGCAGGACCCAACATGGGGTCCTCCAAAGCCAGGTAATAGTGGATAGGGGAGCATGGTACAGGTCTGAGTGGGCTCTTTCCCGGTTCTTGTCGTGTCTGGGAATCGGATTTTTATCAAAGAACTCTACTGCGCGAAGGTCTGCACATGGACCCAAAAGGGGAGGAAACACCTGATGTTTTACCCCTTCGCCGAACCCCTTCGACCATGAAACGAGTTCGAGAAAGACCCCGGTGCTTGTCGTGTAAAGTCCGCAAAGTTGCGCACTAATATGTAATTTTTTAATATATAATTAAAGGATATTAAAGGTTATATAGACCCCCAAATAGATAGAACAGTAGATCACCAAACACATATTGGAAACTACCATGCCACTATCTATTTGGGAACAGTGGGCGACCGGACTCCAACCCTCCCGACACTCTCTCTAGCTCGGACTCTGGCTCGTTCCGTGTGCATATTCGGGCGTGGCGTTTGGGGCACGTGAAGACTGAATGACTAAGGACCTGGTTTAAAGCTTGGAAAGAGAACAATGAAAAGTGGTATCTGGCAGGCCGGGCCCCAGTTCAAAGCTCTTCAACCTCCGTAGGTAGGTGCTGGAAAGACCCTGCAGGTGAGTGCTTCGACCTCTTATTATAATCATACTATAGTGCCTCCACCCGCAGTTCTTGGCAGAGGGGGTGCCAATCGTCCATCGAAATGTCCAGTTGGGTCGAAGTTCGGAAACTGGATATGCCAAGCTCAACCGGGAACATGGGCCAAAACGGTTTGACTGGGACGGGGTTGCCAACTTGGAGATCTCCTGTCGGCCCACTTTCGGTCCTTGTCCTTCGTTTTTTTTCAGAGGGTGGTGTGTTGGAAAAGCGAGTTGAAACAGCACGGAGGCATAGCCATTGCCGAGTTCTCTTCATGCACGGACCTCTCGCGGGCTGCTCTGCAGGCCCTCAGTTCGATCTGGCCAGCGCCTGCCCTGCCCAGCAGCCAGCAGGTTGAGCGCCCGAATTGAAGCCATCCCTGCTTGACATGTTGCCAAGGATGTGTGCTAGTTCCACAGGTTGTGCCAGGGATGGAAGGCTGGTTCATCCGCCATGTTCACCGCAGAAGATCCAGGCCATTCTTAATGCAGTAATGGCCCAAAAATATAAGTGCACCCCGGACCAGAGGTTCATCAAAACGCTTCGACCATAAAAACCAGTGCGACCACGAACAGAGGAACGCAACACAGATTCAATGTTTGGGGATATTTTGGGGGGTTAGGTATCTCCATGTATCTCCTCTTCACAAGCCAAGAGTCTTGGTGTACAGCTGCCCTGTCCAACGATCGCAGCTCGCGCGCTGCGTGCTGCGCTTTTGACTAAGTTGGCTCACGCCGACTCGAGGGCCTTACTTCGACCGCAAGAGCCGGTTGGAAAAAAGGAGTTGGCTCCCACCGTTGCGAGTTGGAAAACAGTGAGGTTTGAAAAGCACTGCAAATGAGAGTGTTGGAAGAAGCACATGAGCCAATGAGATTGCTGATTTTCCATGATTTTCCCATCTTGGCATCCATTTTCTGTGAAAGACTTCTTCCTCCCACGTCCGAGTCCGCTGTTCGTTGGCCGTTTGAGTCGCGCTGGGGGGGGTTCCGCGGTCTCTGACGTTCCGCTGTTGGCGGCCATGGCTTTCCAAGCTCGGCGTTGCCTCGTGGGTGTGCGTGAAGGATGCCATGCCCAGAGACAAAGGGTCAGAGGGTCTTGGAAGTCACCGCAGGTTATTTCCCAGCAGGGAAGAAAGGATCTACTTTAAAAGGCGTGCAAAGAGCTGTGCTTGCAAGAGTATTTACCTTCCTTGTTGCCTGTAAGGGGGGCTGAAGTATCCGAGGTCGCAGGGTCGCATTAGTGATGGAATATTGAAGAACAGCATGGTTTGTTGGTTCCAGGAAAATCCTTGTTCGAGTGACCGCCCCCAACAGTAAGCCGGGCCGCCTTTCGAAGCAGATCAATCGCTTCTTTCTTTTTTTGTGGGAACTCATAGGAGTTCAGACGCTCCGAGACTGACCAATGACTGTCTGCGTGAATTGCGTCAGCTCAGTCTAGCTACTTGTTTCAGGAGCAGCTGATGGAGCTGCAAAATCCTCCTGGCATGCATCTCAGAGTGAAACCTGCTGGGATCCTCCCTGAAACCATGATGGAAGTGGATGAGTGAATGGCCTCTTGGACCTGCCTTAGATGACCATTTTCACTCCGAATACCAAGCAGGTGCCCGTTCTTTTCACTCCGCTTCTATGATGATTTCAAGGAGTGTAACAGAGCTTGACATCAGGGGATCTAGGACTTGAACCTCTGCGCATTCATGTAAAGATGCCTTTTTTGAACCACCCAGCATTCTCGTCGCGCATTCTCCTCATCCCGCATTCTACAGCCTGGCTCATCTCAGATGCAACACGAGTTGTGAGGGCTCCAAGTCCAAAGGACTTCGAAGAGCTCTCTGTGTGCCATGGATGTCTCATGGGCTTCACGGATGGTGGCAGACTTGCGGCCTCCCCTTCATGCAGTCAAGGTGCTACCAACGAAGATGCTGGAAAGCGAACGCATGAGGCGAACGCGAGCAGCAATGTGGATTTATGGCTCATCTGTCCTGCTGACGATCATGTGCCTGAAGCTGCTACCTCTGATGCAAAGGTGCTGTCAGCGCCAACGGAAAGTCGAGGCCGGATATCAGCTGCTTGGCCAGGGTGCGTCAGAAGAATTGACCGAGGAAGGAGAGGCTAAACCAGATGAGGATCACGAGGATGCTGTGGAGGCGCCCGAAGAAGAACGAGCGCACCGCCTTACCGTTGGCTTTGTGGTGTACCACATGACCTACACATACCTGGGCTTGGCGCTGGTATTTTGGGCGTGCCGAAAGGGATACCTCAATGCCTATGGAATGGATTGGGAGATCTATTCCTTCTGGCTTATTGAGACCATCGCAACCCACTTGATCTGCGGAGCTTCTCCAGCAAAGTTCCTCAGCGCAATTATGCCCGTCCTCAGTGAGCGCTATGACCTCGTCAAAGACACTGTGTCCATTGGCATCTACGCAAACCTTGGGCACCCAGCAGGTTACGCTTGCAGTGCGGTCGTCATATTGACCATGATTGTCCCGAACATCTTCAATTACATGGATCCTGCCACAGAGCAGCTTATGAGGGCTTCCTACTGGCCCATACCGGCAGACCAAGCTCAGGTAGTGGATGAGGATGATGACGTTCAGCAGCGAGGCATGTTTCACCGATTCAAGGTCTTTTGCGCAAAGCAAATGGAAGACACCACGCGAGAGCATCGTCGTGTGCTGTGCTTGTTGGAGGACTTGCCACAGCTTGCCGTGGCGTTGTTCTTCACCGCCTACTCACGCTACACCGAAGGCGGGCAATGGGAGTTGTGTGCGAATGCCGAATGATCTCTTCTTAGGGAGCCCCGTCTGAGACTGCCGCAGAACGATGGGGGAATGTGTTCAATTCAAACCACACGTTCGCCACACGTTCGCCGCACGCACACCACGCGCCCAGCCTTCGGTCGGACAGCCCCAAGCCCCAAACTCCCCGAAACCGGACGCCCGAAACTCCCTCTTTGGCCGTGCTTCGGCGCCCATTCGTCGCGGCTTCGGCGTTGTAACGTTCGCGGCGCGTTCGGCGTTCGTTCGTCGATCTCACGCGGGTGGCTCAAGGTGCGGCGATCTCGCCCTTCATTGCCTTGAACATCGTGATCGCCGTCGCCAAGACGTGTGGCATTTTTCTGGGCAGGGGAATTTGTTTGACCTGGATGGTCATGAACAAAGTGCCATGGCCAATGGACTGCATTACCCAGAGGAATTTGGAGGATGGGTTGCGGAAAGTGAAGTCTTTTTTCAGCCACTGAGTTCTTTTGCTTGTCATAGAATCTGCACAATTGATTTGTGGGTTCCTTTTTGATATATGTTCCAATTGCAGCCACTGCGCTGGATGAACTATGCGTCCCAGTTACTCCCGATATTCTTGTCAAGTTTGATTTCCTCTTTTGGGGCGCTGAGATACAAACGTTGATTCTCACTCTCACAGAGTGATCTGGGAAATTATCAGAGGTGAAGAGCAGAAGGGTATAGAAGGGTGGTTGATGGTGATCTGTCTGATGATGTGTTGCCTTTGCTTTCCAGTGCGTATGTCTACGGTACTTGCACCAACTCCGCCCCTACCTTTTTTAAATCTGGTATCTTCTCGATTTTATTGTCTGGCTGGTGCGGGTATTGGATGGATTTGCGGTTGGTGCATGTATGGCATTCCTACAATCTTTGAGACGTCCTTGTGAACAGGTTTTGTGGAGACGGAGATGGAGGGTTGTTCTGCGGAGTGGGGGGAGTAAGTAGCTTTGAGGCTGGCAGATATGGACCCCGTAGCCTACCAATCCGTTCTGTGGTTCAATGTTATCTGTCCTGGTTTTGTGATATTGTGACGCGCCATGCAGTGAAGTGATCAGTGAGGTGATGTGGGATGATGTGTGATCCGATGAAGTCACGCGTTGGCGATGTGATGTGGTTCGGGTCTGGGAGTAGGCATCTCCGGACTGGAAGTGGATTTTCCGAAAGAGAGGTTCTGTTGCTGCAGCACGAAACTTGAAGCTTTTGCCCCCCACAAAAAGCGGACGCAACCGTTCCAATTGCCAGTGTTTCAAACACATATCGGCAAGCAAACGTGTCCCATGCTTTGTTCCTAGGACATGCCACTAACCGCTTACGTAATATTTTGAATGCGCCGAATCGATTTTGGTGATTGGAACCTTCTTTGTTGATACTGTAGAAGTTTTTTTTTTCCAGAATTGCCTGTCCACAGACTATACCCAATAAAATTAGAACAAACATGCCATAGTGGCTATAGTGGCTATAGTGCGTGCGTACAAAACAGCTGGTGTTGCGGCACGATCATAAAAGATCTTCGCTCGATCCGGGTCGATCGTTGTCCAGGACGTCGTGTGGTTCAGTGGCTACTACGGCGAAGCCGGGGAGGCCGAGATGCTCCGCGTGCTCAAGGAAGTGGTTCGTTCGGATGACACACCCAGAAGCCTTCGGCAGACAGCCGAACGACATCTGTGGAGCAGGGTCGAAGAGTTGCAGGAGACCTACGGTTTCCCCTTTAGCTCGTCGGAGTCGCAGTTTGGCGTGGATTTGGTGCAGCATGCGAAGGGCCAAAGGGCGTGTGAAGCAGTTGTGGCGTACTGTGCCAGCAAAGCCCTGTCCTTTCAGGAGGCCAGTTCAATGCTTTCCAAGTGGCAGGTGTTTGCACCCATAAACAGTGACCGAAGCCCAAGGAGTGAAGTTTTGCTTACGTGGAGAGTGTTAGTTGAAGGAAGCCTTGCTTTTGAGTCACGCCGGATCGGTCGCGATCCAATACATCTGTTGGCCGAACCCTTGAAGATGTTGAAGTCGGACAGTTCGGAAGAGGAAAAAACGCGGGCCATCATTTTGTTGGGAGGGATGTGCACAAAGGAGGCAGCCAGAGCAGTGCTTTCCTACAATGTCAACTTATCCCATGCTGATGACGAGGTCCGAGCTGCTGTTTGTCGGTCTCTTGCATGGGCTTCAGAGGACGACTTTGCAAAACACTCGGAGGCGCTTGTGCGGACAGCGTTCGAGGATGAAAACTCTGATGCCCGCCAGTGTGCATGGGTGGTTCTAGGATTGAAGCGAGATCTTGGCGTGAAGCTGGTAGAAAAGCAGTTAGCTCAGGGCAACTACGCCGACCAAGAATCGGATTTGCTCCTGCGATCTCTTTTCGCAGTCCAGTGGCTTGGAGAAGATGCAGATGTTCTTTGGGATGACAAGGTTCTTCAATTGATTGAAGATTCAGACCTTTGGCCTGCCCGCCAAGACTCAGGAAGTTGTCTTCGAGACACTGCGGAGACTTTGTTGAAGTGTGGCCGTATGGATCGGCTGACAAACATTTTGCCAAAACTCTTGCTGGAGTGCAAGCACGATGAGCGTGGACAGCGCTTGGTGGGTTTGGCTGCTGTGATCAAAGGGCCAAAGCCTAGGATCGTGGATGTAATTCTGCAGTTGCTGGTGTCTGTTACAGTAACAGATGCCAACGGAGGCTGGCTACATTATTTGTTGCAGACTGCCAAAGCCCTTGTTCCAGAATTCAATGAGAAGCATGTGAACTCCCTCCTTGGAGTCATTGAGCAAGATTCTTCCCCTGTGCTTTTGCAGCTTAAAGCTTCGGAATTATTGGGAGAGCTGAGGAAACGACAGTGGGATGTTTCACTACCTGTGTCGCTGATTGAGAAGCATTTTGAGAATGAAGACACCACTGTCCTCACTCGCGTTTGCGCAGTGCTTCAAGCATGGGGAACCATCTCCGAATCGTTGCCTTTGTTGCCTCACTTGGCAAAGCTTCTGCAACACAGCAATGAGTCGGTGCGAGCGGCTGCGTTTGAGACTTTTGGCAACTTCGATGCCATTCCAAGTCTCAAGCCACACATTCCAGCGCTGCTAGCAGCCTGTCTGGGCACCGATCCAGAGACAGGAATCTTCTATGCAGCATTTCGTGCTGTGCGGCGGCTCGACATCTTCAGCAATGATTTGGTTGACGAGGAGTCAAAGCAGAAGGTGCTCGACAGTGCGCATCGCCTGAATGATCCCGACCGGCAGGTTCGAACGAGGGCACGCACACTTGTTCAGCTTCTTCCGACAGATGAGATAGACTCCGATCTTGTGAAAGACATTACTAGGACCAGCTTTCGCAAAGATGATCCACTTTCTTTCGAGACCTTCAACCTTGGACAGAAGGGACAGGCAGCTCTTCGAACCTTGATTGAAGAAAAGTCCAAAGAGCTTTGCTTCGAGAGGCTTTTGCTTTGGACGATCGAGTCCATCGACAGTTTGCAGCGTGACGACCCCCGAGCAGAGGCTTTGGTTTACTACATGCTCAATGACAGTGCCCCACACGTTGCAGCCAAAGCGCTGCAGAGATGCTTCGGCAAGAAGACCGTGGAGCTTCCAGGGGTCGCCGAAGCTTTACCCGCTGTGGCCTTCAAACGCTTGGCGCCAGCTGCAGAGTGGTTGGATCGGAGAGTCTGGCTGGCTCTGAAAGCACCGTAGAGCCAGCCCTTGTGGCCCCAAAGATGGGCAACGGTCTACCAGGGTGGCTTCCACTGCAGCACCAAGGGCAATGAAATTTGCAACTGTAGAGAAGTTGGATCTTCACCTTTTGTGCATTTTACTAGATGTTTTGTAAGGCTTTGCAACCGGGTTGTTCTTCGCGGGTTGGCAGCCACCCTGAAGACTAAGCAAGAAACTCAAAGACGGTTTCTTCATGAAAACGAGCCGCCCGCTTCACTCATGAAATCAATCGCATCGCTTGAGTGACTCCCTCACGGCTTGTGACCCCGTTCGCTTGTGTTGTTTATATAGCAGTTGTTTTTGCATGTTACTTTCAAAACTCCTATGTTGATTCATATCATTTTGTTTTTTCTAAAGCCTGATGAAGGTCTTCCTAAACATTTTGCAACATGCACATACATTTCTCTATCGAGAGTAAACATGTCCCTCTTAAACATCTTCCTTCCTCGATTTGAAGCAGGCTCTCCTTCGAGCTCAGACTCACAGAGCGAACCCAACATATCCCCATCGTCGTGAGAACAGGACGCAGGGCGCCTGGCCCCACCTGTGGACCTCCTCGCGGCGATCGGTTGGCCACCTGAGGTCGCCATCGGCTCGCGGACAGCGAGCCGCCGCTGGCGCGGCGGTCGGGTCGACCGGCGCGGTCAGGCGCAGGCACGACGAAGCCGGTTTCGTTGGGCCGTTGAAGGCCCCAGCTTGACACGTGGCCGGATTCATTGTGTCTATCCATGCCAGGAGTGACAATATACGAGTCGAACGGAGATATGGGAAAGGTGCTCCTTTTTCCTTCAAACGGACCCCTATCACCTCCGTTTGAAGCTGGTGCGAGTGCGCAGTCCCAACACAACGCTGTCAAGTTTGGGTGGCCTCGTCACATGGCAAGGGTGGCTGTGGGTCATGGCACCCTGTAAACCTGGTTGACCGCGGATCAAATGAACAGCTCCCTGTATGGTCAGGATGCCACCAGCTGCCATGACCCACGGCCAAGACTTGGTGTACCGTGTACATGGCACCGCATGGGCGTTCGCCCTTCCGGTGCCACCGCCCGGCCCGTGGGATTCGGAAAAGGCTTCTCCGCCTGTGATTGCGCACGAAGGAAAGCATGACTATAGGTTGATTCTGTGATGCTTTGGGAGATCACTCGTTCCAATGATGTGTCCTTTATGCCTTGGCTTGCTTCTTGAGCCCCGAAGCCATCGAACTTGCGCCCGTCACCAGAACGCGCCGTCCAGAACGCCCTCCAGAACGCGCCACTCTGCCATGGCTGCGTCACCAGACAGCTTCTTGCAAAGCTTTGAGGCCCAAACCACCCAGCAGTGGGATGCCAAGCGTGCGCTGCACGCGGAGATCCTCCGCCGCCTCAGCGAGCGAGACTTGCCAGGCGTGATGAACTTACATTCGCCCGGTGAGGAAGAGAACTTGAAGATCTTGGATTTGAGACCCGCGCCTTGCTCGACGGACAGTGCCGACCTCATCCGCCGTGACGGAGAGGCAGCGGTGGCTTGCGCTGCTGAATGTGAGTTCTTTGGCCTTTCGGCCTTGGAGACGGTGGGCTCAGTGGTCGAGTTGTGCAATGAGGAGCTCTATGCGAACTTGCGGACGCTCCTGACTGAGGAGTTCGGTACGGAAGCCAGTGTGGTGGAGAACACCAAGGCGGCGATTGCCCAGGTGCAAGACAAATCCATCCGACAGGCGCTTCTGCAGTCCTTCTCTGAAGAGGCAGTGAATGAGATGTACACGTGCGACACGAGTGCCCATGAGTACGACAAGATGCAGAGCAACTTGCACCAGTTACACGTCCAAGGAACCAAGGATGCAGCTACAAGGCTCTTACGACGCAGCAAGCTTCCGCCGTTGCACGACACGGTCCATGCCAAGCTCTCCGTTGCAGAGGCCTTGCAGCGGAAGGCGGACCTCGCTGTCTCGAAGCATGATGCGGCGGAGGCGTTGTGCGCCCGGCTGGAGGAACACCAGGCTGACGTGCGTGGGAAGAAGCAGAGGTGCGGTGAGAGCCTTTGTTTTTGGCTTTTGTTCGATTGAAATTGAAGACCGTTATAAGTTATAAACTATCGATCAAATCAACATACAGAGTATAAAGTATAATTCCCAGACACTCCATGTATGCCATATATGCTGCCCCATTGACCCCCCTGGCACCACCCCTGCCCTGATCGGCAGTCCTATGGCAGTCCCATGGAGTGTCTGGGATTATATAACTGATGCTTTTCTCAGGATTTCCCAAGAGCAAAAACACATCTAGGACGGGCCTTATGCTCCTTCTGAAAGAAAGATGGTAGACATGCCAAGGCAACAGAGGTTGAAGATGGTTGAAGAACCCGAACGTTCGACTATCCCATAGGCACCCCAGGTTACGGGTCCTATATAAGGTCACTGAACCTCTCTTGGAGGATCTGTGTTCTTTCTGTCCCTAGCTGCACCACGAGTATGCTTGTGCAGGTGCGCCAGCCTGCGTCGTGTCACTCTGCGGGAGGAAGCTGTCAAACGTCAAGAGCTGGAGGAGGCTGAGAAAGCGCACCAGAGGGCATGGGAGGAATACCAAAAGGCTTTCATCCGGGATGAGGCTGTGGTCATCTTGGAGGCCTGGAGAAGTTTTTCGTCTGGAAAAAACTATGTCTGAAGTTGAAGTTTAATCAGAGGATGTCCAATCTGGATTTTGGAGCATTCCTACCTAGCCAGGTTGTTGGTGTTTAATCTTATAACATGGGTATAGTCTTGGTATAGTGCAATTCTTCCATGGTCATTGAGTTCAATGATATTCTCTGATACTAAACTTTGACCAGAACTCCGGTGAATCAAGCTGTTTCTTCGACGTCAGGAGGACCTGGTAACCGCAGACGAGGTGGCAACTGGAGCGCTGAGAGCTGCTAAGGTGGCTTACCAGGAGCGGAGGGACGGCTGTTGCGGAGGAGGCACCGCTGGAGGTGGCCCGTGGGGTTCAAGATATACCTGTCCCAGGCACTGGTACAAAGATATATTACATTCATTTATAGGCACCATTTGTAGCCTAGCATATTTGTTCCAAGTAAAGACGAACAGCTGTTTGATAAGGAGATCTTTGTTTGAGGTGTGTAGATGTTTGTGGCATACATCAGCCAGCTCTACTGATGATCTCCGTTCCTCATGGGATCTCTGTTCCTGATGCTCGCCTGGAGAACCACACGCGAATCATCCAGAATCATCAGAATCACCATCGGTCGAACTGTCCCGTGAACCTGTGAGCTTGTGAGCGTTCTCCAAGAACGTCCGTTTGGACTCATGAGTCTCTCCCCACCTGGCAGTCAGGATCCAGTATACCAGGGCCCGGGCAGTGCATGAGTCGACTGTCAGCTAGGGACCTCTTGGGAATGGCAGATTTCTTGTCGATGAACATCTCAGCGCTGGACTGATCTGTGGATCTGTGATCGGATCTACCGAAGAAAGACAGAACATTCAACAGATCTGTTGGAAGCTACCAGAATTATATTTTGAGCCTAACAGAGTACCATACCCATCTCAACGTACCATACACATGGTACCATAAAACCTCACACCTATCTTGGCCAAGATTATCTAACAGAGTTATTTGGATCTGTTGGACTGTTGGGATCGCCGCTCTGCCCCAGAACCACCCCTCCCCAATGACAATCCGGCTCAGGAGGCGACGCCCAAGTTCGAGCGCTGCGCAGCTGAGGCCATGGAACCGTCCTGGGTTGCCAGAAATATATGGCTGGAACTTAAGATGGCTTGCTTGAGATCCTGTGCATAACAAGTGGTTTGGGACTGTGGAAGCATTCATTTTTGTCTGGTTGGGAGTGGGTTTCCAAAATGATCATATTTTTCCTGCGAGCGAGTGAATCCCATGACACATATGCTTTCAACTTTATCCTGGTTCCTGGACAGCGTAGACGTTCAAGGATGTTCAGTAGACGTTTCTCAACTTCGCCTTCGGCACATTCGCCTCCGCGTTTGGATCCGATTTTCGGTAGACATCCGTCCAAAAGACCTCAAGATCCGACTAAGTGACTATATAGTGCGACGAAAGTTAGGAACGAGGGCTGGAGATGAATGGACCCCAGCAAGTTCTGCGCCTTTGCTTTGCAGGCCGCCCGTTGCAGGGCGGCGTTGAGCGCCATCAGCCAGGCCACCCGCTGAAACGATGCTGAGACATCTGAGACGAGCTTGGACGAAAAAGGTGTCGGACGGTCAAGCAGCTCCCAAAGAAAGAGATGGAACCAGTTGTGCAGCTGTTTGATGAAGCATCAAACACTTCTTTGAGAGCTGCTTTGCACTGAACTGAGCATGTTTGAGTGCAAAGCAGCTCCCAAGAGTCCCCGTCTGAGGGCAGGGCACTCCTGAGCGGCCAGGAGTCCCATGCCAGATTGCTTGTGGAGTCTAAGCCGACCGTGGAGGCGCCTGGCGACAAGGGTCAAAGCGAGTGACGCCCACCTGGCCGGTGGGTGGGTGTTGCTGTCTGGATTCATTGAGGGATCGATGTGACATTTGATGACACTTGGACTGAGTGTCGCAGCACTGGACTCCTTTTTGACTGTTCACCTCGGCGAAGGAAGCTTGGAAGAACACGGCCTTTGCCAGCGAGCTTGGCAAGTGTGTGTTGGCTGCGAAGCGCAGGGAGATTGGCCACTTGTGCAAGGAGCCCCGTGGCTGTGCTGTTCGATGTGGTTTTTTGAATTTGTTTTTCCTCTCAAGGTAATCACCTCCATGGTTAGTCCTCGCCATTTAGTTTAACCGACCATTTGGTTGCTTCATTATCCCATGGTTAATGACCTCTCCAAGGATTCTCGTGATCCGCTGATGTTTGCCACGTGCGGATGCATTGTAAGCGTTCATATTTATGCCTTTGTTTTAACGGACGTTTAAAGCTATATTCCCGTCAAGACTCGTGGCTCAAACCTCAAGTGGTGGTTCACTTCGGGATTGGCCACAGACCGTCTTTCGGATTTGAGCCAAGAGTTCTGAGG